CGAGGTGTTCACTGTAATTAATTGATACATTTATTTTGCAAAGTGATGTAAATCATATCTATGAAGAGAAAATGTTACAAATTGTATCACTAAAAATCACGAGATCTAAACATAAATCATTTGCTATATTTTTTATCACTCGACATTATACTATATACAGAAGGTAATGCATAATACCTATAATAAATATAAATGCTTTACACTTTATTCGCAATAGACAGAATTATAACCTGTGCCACAACTGCACTCCAAAATAATATAGCCAGTAGTAACGTAAAACACCACAATCACTGTAAATCACAATACCCTAGACCTTCATTCATAGGGATTTTCGTACACAGGTGTGTTACATACGTTTTTCAGAAGTGAAACAAAGTTTTTCTTTTACCTGTCATAGGTGTTTTTTACACACAGTTTCACAACAACCTTCCTTCCTTCCTTCCTTCCACTTCCTTCCTTCCTCCTGCACGAGGAGGTGAAGGTGGGAGGGACAAAAATTGCGATGAAAGTGTATTAAAAATTACATTCCTGCTGTAAGTCACATTCTGGGCAAAAATGTTAATGTATAATATAACTAGTACACCTGCTGGAAATATTCAAGAGTTGAGTTAAAGGGTATCCGCACATATTATTACTATTATTATTATTTATTCAAAACGTAGCGTTAAACCCGTAAGGGGTCATACAGCGTCTGGGGTAAATGAGGTAATCAGGCTTGATAAAAAAAAGGAGATAGCTTCAATTTCTTGGATCAAGAGCCCTTCAACATCACAATACGTAGCCTGGTAAATGCCAGTTTTAAAAATAACCACCTTCCCTTGGTCGATATTTTGATACAAACTAACTGGTAAGACTATGATTTATAACCAAAGATAAAAAAAGTCAAACCCTTAAGGAAATATAAGTGTTTCATCGTGCTCAGGCACCAGGACACAACCTCCTCCTCCCGCCAGTAAACACCGCGTTATTATAGTCACGGAAAGCGTTAAACCAAAGGGACCACACACTGCTGGGGGATTTCAGATAATCAAGTTTGATCGGAGGAAAGGAAGGGTAATTCAATTCCATTTCCTTAGATTAAGAGCACTTTACTAGAATCACAAAATTTTTCTCCAACAAACTTCTCAACGAAGACCTTCTCCAACAAACTTCTCAAGGAAGACCTTCTCCTCCAATAAACTTCTCAACGAAGACCTTCTCCTCCAACAAACTTCTCAACGAAGACCTTCTCCTCCAACAAACTTCTCAACGAAGACCTTCTCCTCCAACAAACTTCTCAACGAAGACCTTCTCCAACAAACTTCTCAACGAAGACCTTCTCCTTCAACAAACTTCTCAACGACGACCTTCTCCTCCAACAAACTTCTCAACGAAGACCTTCTCCTCCAACAAACTTCTCAACGAAGACCTTCTCCAACAAACTTCTCAACGAAGACCTTCTCCTTCAACAAACTTCTCAACGACGACCTTCTCCTCCAACAAACTTCTCAACGAAGACCTTCTCCTGCAACGAACTTCTCAACGAAGACCTCCTCCTACAAACTTCTCAGCGAAGATCTCCAACAATCACCATCATTCCTTTATTCCTCCATCATACATCTCCCCTATAACGAGTGGTCTTCCAGGATTGTATTAAATTCAGGGGAAGCTTTAAACCCGTAGGAGTCATATAGCACCTTGGGAATTGGGATGTAACCAGGAGGATAGCTCTATTCCTTGGATAAAGAGCCCTTCACCAGCATCAAGACACCCAGTCTTTATTGATACAAACTACCTCGTACATGTTCTTGTACTCCCAGTACATGTTCTTGTACTCCCAGTACAAGTTCTTGTACTCCCTGTACATGTTCTTGTACTCCCAGTATATGTTCTTGTACTCCCTCGTACATGTTCTTATACTCCCAGTACATGTTCTTGTACTCCCTCGTACATGTTCTTATACTCCCAGTACATGTTCTTGTACTCCCAGTACATGTTCTTGTACTCCCTCGTACATGTTCTTATACTCCCAGTACATGTTCTTGTACTCCCAGTACATGTTCTTGTGCTCCCAGTACATGTTCTTGTACTCCCAGTACATGTTCTTGTGCTCCCAGTACATGTTCTTGTACTCCCTCGTACATGTTCTTATACTCCCAGTACATGTTCTTGTACTCCCAGTACATGTTCTTGTGCTCCCAGTACATGTTCTTGTACTCCCTCGTGCATGTTCTTATACTCCCAGTACATGTTCTTGTACTCCCAGTACATGTTCTTGTGCTCCCAGTACATGTTCTTGTACTCCCTCGTGCATGTTCTTGTACTCCTAGTACATGTTCTTGTACTCCTCCTCACCCGTTCTTGTACTCCAAGTACATGTTCTTGTACTCCCAGTACAGGTTCTTGTATTCCTCGTGCTTGTCCTTGTACTCCCTCGTGCATGTTCTTGTACTCCCTCGTGCATGTTCTTGTACTACCCCGTGCATGTTCTTGTACTCCCTCGTGCATGTTCTTGTACTACCTCGTACATGTTCTTGTACTCCCTCGTGCATGTTCTTGTACTCCCTCGTGCATGTTATTGTACTACCTCGTGCATGTTCTTGTACTACCTCATGCATGTTCTTGTACTACCTCGTACATGTTCTTGTACTACCTCATGCATGTTCTTGTACTACCTCGTGCATGTTCTTGTACTACCTCGTGCATGTTCTTGTACTCCTCGTACATGTTCTTGTACTACCTCGTACATGTTCTTGTACTACCTCATGCATGTTCTTGTACTACCTCATGCATGTTCTTGTACTACCTCGTGCATGTTCTTGTACTACCTCGTGCATGTTCTTGTACTCCTCGTACATGTTCTTGTACTACCTCGTACATGTTCTTGTACTACCTCGTGCATGTTCTTGTACTACCTCGTGCATGTTCTTGTACTACCTCGTACATGTTCTTGTACTACCTCATGCATGTTCTTGTACTACCTCGTGCATGTTCTTGTACTATCTCGTGCATGTTCTTGTACTACCTCGTACATGTTCTTGTACTACCTCATGCATGTCCTTGTACTACCTCATGCATGTTCTTGTACTACCTCGTACATGTTCTTGTACTACCTCGTACATGTTCTTGTACTACCTCATGCATGTTCTTGTACTACCTCGTGCATGTTCTTGTACTATCTCATTCATGTTCTTGTACTACCTCGTACATGTTCTTGTACTACCTCGTACATGTTCTTGTACTACCTCATGCATGTTCTTGTACTACCTCGTGCATGTTCTTGTACTACCTCGTGCATGTTCTTGTACTACCTCGTACATGTTCTTGTACTACTTCGTACATGTTCATTACCCGTTTCAGTACATGTACTTCATAAATATTCTCTTTCCCATCGCTCCCATCAATGGAATTTAACCACGTCTCCTCTTCCTTTGATCAAATTTAATTGCCTCAAATTTCCCAGGTGCTGCATGACCCATACAGGTTTAGCACCTCAATATATAATAATAATAATAATAATAATAATAATAATAATAAATAACAACTTTCTATTTTTGCTCTTTCTATTTCTTCTCCTCCCTTCCTTACTCTACCTCCTCTTATTTTTTAATTTTCTTATGTTCCACGCCTCACCTTACATTATGTTTCCGTTCTTCCTCTTCCTCTTTCTTCAATTCACTCCTATACATCTTTCCTCTACCTCCTTCCCTCGCTTTCATTCCTTACCCCAGTTCATCTTCCATTCATAAATTTCTAGATTCCTAATTCCTTCTTCGTTTTTTTTTCTATGCTCATTTCTTGTGCTTCCTGTTGGTACCTTCTTATGCCTCCTTTACTTCCTTCATATATTTCTTCCTTCAAAATAAGTTTATGCAGTCAAGTACACTTAAGTACAATTATCATACATAATGTAAATTGTAATAATGTTGGTAGAATTATCGACAATATGTTAGGTAAAAAAGGACACAAGTGCAACTGATGCGACATTTTTATTGTGGCAACGTTTCGCTCTCCAGGATATCCTATTGCGGCCCTACAGGTTCTTTCTTCCTTCTTTACATCTCTTACTTCCTCTCCTCCCTATTGTTACTCTATTCCCTCCTTACTTGCACTTCCTCATCTGTTCCTTGTGCTTCATCATCAACTCCTTGCCTAAGCTCCATCTCTTCCCTACTTGCCTCTTCTCTCCTTGTACTTCTCTCTCCTTAATTCCCAGGGTGTCATGAAGTACTGCTACTTCCTCCCCCTCCTTCCCTCCCTCTCCCTTAACTAAACTGGCGGACTAGCTGGCTTCTAATTCAATTTGTCTGAGTGGTGCAAAGTCCTGGCGGCAATTTTAGATATTAACTCGATATCGCCAAGATTACACCCGGGCTCGCCAAAATTCTGCCCGAACAATAGTCTTTTTCTTTTCAACGCCGCCTCCACTACCCGCTAAAATAGTGTATTAAACTCTGCAGTAGTTTTCAAGTTTTTTTGCATTATTTCCAAATCTTTATGGGCCTACTTTACCTTCCTTGGATTAAACTAACAGCTGTCCATTTCCCCAGGCGCTGTGTGACCCCCTGCGACTTTAGCGCTTTCCGGGTATATAATTAAATATTTTTAGACACCAGTTATAAAAATAATTAATAGATAAGGGGATAATTTGGTTTATAATTATTAAATACAAGAACAAGGTGATTTTATCTTCCGAAAACCTCCGTAATTTTTGCGCTATGTTGGAGGCTCTAAACCTGTAGGGTTCTAACGCCTGGGAACAGAAGGCAGTGAAGCTTGATCCAAGGCACGGGAGGGCAGTTGCACATTCCTAGGATGAAGAAGCATTCACCAGCAACAAGGCGGCAACCCTCCTCATACCTGGTAAAAGGATGAACTTGCGTACAGTTACGCCGAGTTGAGAGTGCAAAGGAAAACTTAAATGATTAACTAAAAGGCAACAGAACACAGAGAGCGTTTTAAGACCTTATATACACACATATATTTGTATACGTTTTGAAATCAAGGTAGAGAGGACTTACCTTGATGGTATTAACGGTCAGGTTGAAATGGTTGGCGGCGCGGACGGTACATTCATTGCTTCAACTACACGTCGGGGTGCGAACCCCCGGTAATCCTCAACCACAAACAGATCCCCCATAAAAAAAGCACACACACACACAAACACACACACGATCCAACTCCTATGCACTGCCTGGGGTTACATTTCAGGGTTATAATGATGGCGAAATTGCCCACTGGAGCTAATCCGGTGTCATCTCAAAAGACGAATTTCCACACCCCCACTAAAGATCTACCATAATTTACAGTACTTTCGACAAATCGAGAATAAAATATGATCTAGGAAAAAATTATACTTCTTTTATTATCTTTTTTCTCTTTGAAAGCGATGGTGGAATCCCCAAGCGCGGGGGTGTGGGCGGAAACGCTCACACACACACCCTTTCACCACTCAGTCCCGAAGAACACTGAGTGCTTGATTCCAACCTCGGGCCATCATGGAGTTGCCGCCGCCACCTTGTCCTGCTGCTGCTCCTCCCAGCCCACTGCCGCCGCTCCTGCCTCCTGCTACCACCACCACGGCTCTACTGCTCGTGTGCTGCTGTGCGGTGCTGTGATGCTGCTGGCAGTAGTGGTCATGGTGGCGTGTGGTGTTAAGTAATAATAATAATAATCATCTTTATTTCTACAGGTACATAATACAACTGATACAGACCTAGTTGACATCTCTGGCACACTATACAGAAAGCCCTCTGGTTATGTACAGTATTTCACGAAACTTAGTTTAATCTTGTTCCCTTGGATGCCACCCACATCAGTCGACTAACACCCAGGTATCTACTTACTGCTAGGTGAACAGGGGCAGCAGGTGTAAGAAAATGTACGTTTCACCCGTGCTGGGGATCGATTCCGGACCCCTCAGTGTGTTAGCTGAGGACGTTACTGACCAAGCCACGTGCACCTTTTGGTAGTGGTGTTGGTCTACCTACCTACCTGGGGGGTTGTTCCGGGGGATCAACGCCCCCGCGGCCCAGTCCTCGACCAAGCATCCGGTGGATCAGGGTCTGATCAACCAGACTGTTACTGATGGCCGCAAGCAAACCATCGTACGAACCACAGTCCGGCTGTTCGGGCACTGACTTTATGTATCTGTCCAGCTCCCTCTTGAAAGCATACAGGGGTCTTTTTATAATTTCCTTTCTGTATGATGGGAGGCTGCTGAGCAATCTTGGGCCCCGCACATTGTATTTTCTCTTAGTGCACTCGTAGTATCACTACCTTTCATTGGGGGTGTGCTGCACCGTCTTCTTTTGCTTTCTAGGGATGTGATTTCTGTGAAGATATTGAACCAGACCTTTTAAGATTTTCCAAGTGTAAATTATGAATCTCGATTGCGTTCCAGGGAGTTTAGGTCAAAGGACTTCAGACGTTCTCAGTAATTACGGTGCTTCAGTGAACTAATACGTGTACTGAAGGTTCTCTTTACATTATCTGAGTCTAGTCTCACCTGCCTTGAATGGACCTGTTAGTGTACAGCAGTATTCCAGCCTAGAGAGAACAAGCGATTTAAAAAGAATCATCATTGGCTTGGCATCATTGTTTCAAGTGTTGATTTCACTGATGTGTGATAGTACAGTATTAGTTGTAGTGGCGGTAGTGTGTGATGGTGGTAGTAGTGGTGGTGTAGGGTTGTCGTGGGATGGTGGGGTGATATGTAGTGAGATGTGTTGAGTAGTAGTGTGTGTGTGTTGGTGGTAGTAGTGGTGGTGGTGGTGGTGGCGATTGTAGTGGGTAATAGTGGCGGTGACTGTAGTAGGTAGTAGTGATGGTGACTGTAGTGGGGGCGGTGATTGTAGTGGGGGCGGTGATTGTAGTGGGGGCGGTGATTGTAGTAGGGGAGGCGATTGTAGTGGTGGTTGTAGTGGGTAGTGGTGATAGTGATTGTAGGGGTAGTAGTGGTGGTGGTGATTGTAGTGGGTAGTAGTGGCAGTGACTGTAGTGGTAATTGTGGTGGGTAGTAGTGGTGGTGGTGACTATAGAGGGTAGAAGTGGCGATGACTAGTGGGTCGTAGTGGTGGTGGTGGTGATTGTAGTAGGTAGTAGTGGAGGTGACTGTAGTGGTGGTAATTGTAGTGGGTAGTAGTGGTGGTAGTGATTGTAGTGGGTAGTAGTGGTGGTGGTGATTGTAGTAGGTAATGGCGGTGACTGTAGTGGTGGTGATTGTAGTGGGTAGTAGTGGTGGTAGTGACTGTAGTGGGTAGTAGTGGTGGTGGTGATTGTAGTAGGCAGTAGTGGCGGTGACTGTAGTGGTGGTGATTGTAGTGGGTAGTAGTGGTGGCAGTGATTGTAGTTTGTAGTAGTGGTGGTGGTGATTGTAGTGAGTAGTAGTGGCGGTGGTGATTGTAGTGGGTAGTAGTGGCGGTGACTGTAGTGGTGGTGGTGGTTGTGTTTATAGTGGGTAAAGTGGTGGTAGTGATGTTTGTATTGGGTCGTAGCTGTGGTGGTGGTGGTGATGATGAAAGATGGTAGGTATTAAGAACATAAGAATGAAGGAAAACTCCAGCAGGATTATTGACCATACTAGGCAGGTCTAACTCACACTCTCCCACAAACCCACTTCTCTACCCGTTCAACCTATATTTAAGCTCCCCACCGTTCCCGCCTCAATGACGTTGTCTGGGAAGGTGTCCCATTCATCTATAACTTTAATACCAAACCAATATTTCCCTAAAACTTGAATCTATAGCTGCGAATCCTGTCTTGGTCAGATATTTTAATAATGTTGTTTATATCCCCTTTATTTCCATTTGTATACTTCAGTCATATCCCCTTTAATTCTACATCGTTGAAGAGAGTGCAAATTCAGTGCCTTCATTCTGTCTTTACAGGGAAGGTTTCTGATGCAAGGAATCAACTTCGTCATCCCTCATCTTTTACAGCAATACAGTTATTTTATTTTCCTAGTAGTAGAATCTTACATTTGTCCGCATTTAACTGCAGTTGTCACTTCACTGACCACAACATCAACCTCTCCAGGTCATCGCTGGAGCATTCCCCAGCTCACTCTTCACATCACTATGCTCCCTATATGTACTCACGTACTCTCTGGTTTGTGACTTGATAAATCCCATGTGTGGGCGAAACGTACTCACTTTACCTCCAGCATTCTAGTGTCCTCAGCAGAATTTATCTGCCGGACTATTTTGGTATCATCGGTAAACTTATATCACTATTTTCCCTCATCTCTATGGTTTATGTACATTGTGAACAACAGAGATGCCAATACTGACTCTTCACACCACTAGTAACGGGTTCCTTCACTGCTCATAAGAAGGTAAAAGACTCTTGGTGCACAGCAAAAATTTTATTAAATCCATTTCACTGTGTAGAACCGTCAAGTCATGAATCTGTAAAGCTCCACACCAGCAGGGGCGTAGTGGCAGCCATTAAATAACACAAAGGGGGAATCACAAACCACACTAACATGTGAAAACAAATAAGAAGAGGATGAAGATAATGAAGACCCGAAGAAAAAACATATCGAAAAAAATAGAACTGGGAACAAACTGGAGGAGCGCCACTTAACGGAAATTGCACCTTGGAACGCCAATAAATTTGGAACGACAGTAAAGGAAGACAAGGAAAGTAGCGATTAATGGTAGCTGAAACATAAACATCAGCGTAAACAAATAAAGGAAGGAAATAAAGGAAAGAAACAGACCTTGGATAGAGAAATGTGTAGGCAGAGTAAATAAACAATTGTTTAGATAAAGAGACTACCTGGCATTACGTATTTGTTTCTAGCATGATTATGTAGTGAGCTAAGCTGCTTAACCTGCTAGATTCTCTGTCTGTCTGTCTGTCTCTCTGTCCATGGTAGCAGAGTGCTAGTCAGAACAGCCAATTAGCCGAGATGACTCAAGGGATTGTGACATCAAAGTAAATGTGTTATGATCAGTGATAATCTGTGTTCATCCTAGTACACGATGACACTAGAAAATATTCTTATTATTATTGTCATTATTATTATATCTTCTCTTTATATATTTCATTATTATTTTATTGGCATAATTATTTGTATTTGATATCATTATTATTATTATTATTTTTATTATTATACAGACGTTGCATAAATCTTACCGATTAAGAGCTTCTTTATAAATATTGTACTACTACTACTACTACTACTACTACTACTACTACCACTACTACTACTACTACTACTACTACTACTACTACTACTGCTGATAATAATAAACTACTAATAATAATACACTAATAATAATAGGGGTTTCTCGTGAATACAATAGTTACAGCTTAACATTCAGAACATAAATTATTTTACCCTCCAGTCACCTTCAAGGTATCTTGATGCTGAAGGGCTCTTGAGCCAAGGAATTGGAGCCACGCTTCCCTTTTCTCTCCTCAAAGGTAACAATCAATTCCCCAAGCGCTCTATGACCCATACAGATTCAGCGCTTCCCATTAAATTTACTAATAATTTTACGGTCCTCACACTTCATCCCAATTTCCCCTCCTCCCCTTCCCTCTCCCCACCTGGTAAACCCTCCTCCCCTTCCCTCTCCCCACCTGGTAAACCCTCCTCCCCTTCCCTCTCCCCACCTGGTAAACCCTCCTCCCCTTCCCTCTCCCCACCTGGTAAACCCTCCGCCTCTCTTCCCCCACTGCCCACCCCTCATCGCCAAAAAACATATATTAAGCGCATGTTTGAAAGCCAAGCAAGTCAACCCTCCTGGGAGGTACCTTGCTAGAGCATCCAGCCACGCCCATACACATCCCACGCCCACCCGGTACACACCACACGCCCACCCAGCACACACCACACGCTTACCCAGCACACCACGCCCACCCAGCACACGCCACACAATATAGTAGACAAGGTAACCTTCAATAGCGTCCTCTGCTCATTGCAAGACCATCATCTTAATCTTGGATGGTCGGCGAGAGAGGGAGGAGTAAGGTAAGTTATTGCTGGTGCCTGTTACTGTGAAGGGTACACGGTATATATATATACTGAGAGATGTATATATCTCATAGCGTGTATACTGAGGTTGGTATATTAGGTTAAACTAAGGCTTATGGACTAAACTTGAGTTATTGAGGCTGCATGTCACCTCTACTCCGTCAGTCAGGTGACATGTCTATTTTAACGATTAAAATATACTGGCAGTATATATGTATATAATAAGAATAGCAATTCTGCGACCTGCCGGGGGCTTAACTCGAGATATTTAACCAGCTTCCCGGGAGGCTTGTTAAATATCTAGGGTTCGATCCCCGGCTGGTAACAGTATTGTTATTTGCTTAAAAACCACTTGTTTCGTGGATGCATTAATATAATAAGACATACACTTTTCAGTGTATATAAACTTTCAGAGGTGTATATATCTATGTATATATTCCCACAGTTTAATCTTAATTCGCATGTTATTATCTTGGCTTCAGGACTAGTTTAAAAGCGAATCTTTAGACATTCTCTAGTTTGTGAACACGGTTTCTCAGGTGATACTTTCTTTGAAGAATCAGACACTTTTGCAACA